GGGAGGAGGCGGGCGGGAAGAGGGTGGGGGGGTTTTCCCGCCTTGCGCTGTGGCGGCAGGGTGAGGGAGGTGGCGTCCCTTCTCTCACTTGCCCGCTTGGGCGGCTGTTCCCCCACCACCAGACTGAGCCGCCTGATGAGAGAGGCCATGTGTGCTGTGGTCCCCGCCTGTGGTCCCCAGGGGTTCCTTCCCAGGCTCAAGGAAGCAGAAGAGGGTACTGGCTGGTCACCTCCCCAGGCTGTGCCTCCTTTGGGGCTAGGTGACTCCTTGCAAAATACCTGCTCTGCTTTGCCGCCCTCCGCCCCCGACCCCACCAAGGCGAAGGCTGGGGAGGTGGAGGAGAGATCGTCTCCCCACCCAGTGAGGTTGAGGCTGGCCTGGGACCCCAGCTCCTGTCCGGATCCTTCCTAGACAGCACCTCACTCTTCCCCATGGGGAAACTGAGGCTCAGAGACAGGGAGCAAGTTGCCCAAAGTCACAAAGCTGGGACTGGAACCCAGGCTCCTGAATGCGACTTCACACTTCTCTGCACCTCCTCTTCTGTAAAACGGGGCCGCGAGGGCTGGAGACAGGAAGGGATGTGTGTGCGCTTGCGGGGACGCAGTGGTTTCTGTGCCTCGTCAGCACGCGGCGGACTCCTGCTGCAGCGCTTTGTGTCCCCGCCACCTGCAAGGCTGGTTTAATTATGTTTTACAGGAGGGGGAACCAGAAACCACCACTAGCATCCTTTTGCGGAGGGTAGGAAAAGGACTTCTTACCCCAATGCCCTGAATTTGCCTCCACCTGGTGGCAGCGTACTCGTGCCATGCCCAAAACATTCTCTAGAGGACTTGTGACTTCCAGGTGTTCAACCAACACACACCCAGATATTCTACAAAACAGAGAGCTTTTATTGTGACAGATGCTGCGTGATGCCATGTGGGAAGGGCTCAGCCAGGCGCAGGTTAGGTGGGTAACGGGGCAGCCCTTTCTAGGGGGTTCTGCCCACGGGGTTCCTGGGGTGGAGAGAGGGGTGGGCACTGTCCCCATAGCGGCGGATGATGGAGTTGATCCAGTCTGCAAACGTGGCGACGGAGGCAAAGGAGTCTGGGAAGAGCCCAGAGGCGCAGCCCCCCCGAACAAAGGAGTCGATCCCGTGGACCAGCCCGTTGCAGACCAGGGGCCCGCCGGAGTCCCCCTGCGGAGTCACACAAGTTTGGGGGGCAGGGCTTCCAGGCCCTGCCCTCACAGCCCCACCCACTGCCCAGGATGGGGATGTCTTTCCAGGGGTCTGGCTGCAGTCCTGGTCTCTGCAGCCTGGGTGGGGATGGGGTAGGGGTTGGGGGGACACAGGGTACCTACAAAGCAGATGCCAGCTCGCCGGCGTGGCACCAGGGTGCACACATTGGCAGGGCGGCAGAGGGCCGTCACCACGGTCACGTTGAGCTGCTGCAGGACTCGAGGTAACGGCTGGTCCGTGCCTAGCTGGCCCCAGCCCATGGCCAGGCACTGCACCCCGTCGCCCACGCCTTGGTCCTGGGCAGGCAGCTGGGCCACCTGCACGTTAGCGTTGAGGGTGGCCGCCCCATTGAGCTGCAGTGGGAGAGACAGCAGTGGCACGTCACGGGGGGCGGTGAGCGGCAGCCCTTGCCTCTCTAGGCCCCGGTTTCCCTGCCTGAAGTTCCATCATCGTCCTGAGATACTCCAGAGAGGGGCGCCCACCCTGGGCCTCGGTTTCCCCATCTGTAAGGTGGGAACGACCACCGTGTCCCTGGGTGGCCCTGGACGTGTCTCGAGTGCAGTAAACAGCAGGTGCAGCGGCGGGAGGGCAGGTTTCTCCCTCCCGTCTCCTGCCCACCTAATGTGGGGGATTTTGCCGCATTTCACAGAGACGGAGACTGTCCCTGCCCTTGGCCAGCGGGCACACAAAATCACAGTGGTGTGTTGATTGACAGCTGCTCCGAGCTTCCCTGCTGTCATCTCTGATCTCTCAACAGCCCTGCAGAGGGGCTGGGGGTTACTTCCTGGTCTTATGGAGGGAGAGACTGAGGCACAGAGAGACGGCGGGGAGACACCAGGCCTGCCTCCACCATGTCCCCCAGCCCCTTGCCCCTTCCCTGCCCTCCGCAAGCCTCCCCCTGGGCCTTTGCACTTGCCATGGCTGCCCCCAGCTGCCGCGCACCTGGAGAACCACGATGTCGTTCTGCAGGCTCAGCGGGTCGAAGCCATTTTCAAAGACCCGCCGGACCCTGAACGTCTGCCGGGTGAGCTCACGCCGCCCCAGGTTATGGGCCCCCAACACCACGCGCACCAACCGGAAGTTTCTGGTAGGGGGGACAGGAGGTGATTGGGGCGCCCTGGGATGGGGAGCGGTAGAGAGACCCCCCCCAACCTGGGAGCAGCAGGACCTGCAGACCCTCGTGCCTGTGCCGGAAGATCCCCCAACCCCGGGCCCAGCAGGGAGGCGGCAGTGCCATCCTGGCCCCACGCATGGTGGGCGGGCTGGAAACAGGGTGGGGACGAGGGGGACACTCACAGGCCGTTCAGGCAGTGTGCCGCTGACAGGACGAAGTTCGGTGAGATCAGGGTGGCACCACAGAAGTGGCCTCCACGCCGCTGCAGGGACACCATGAACGGCCACGCATGCGGCCGGGCGGGCTGGCCCCCCACTATCTCTGAGGCCAGCGCGGGGCCTGGGGACAAGTGCCGTGCGGGCAGTGAGTGGCGCAGGGAAACCCTGCCCTGGGCCAGTTGGCCCTGAACCCCCACTGGGAACCCACTGGGTGGAGAGGGGGCCTGAGCGGTCCCCCTGCCAGGGTGCAGCTGGATCTGGACTTCACTCTCTTGGAGGCTCTGAAGAGTGCCCAGTGACTGCCCCTGTTCAGACCTCACCACTCAGACCCTCAGTCTCCTCCTCTCCCAGCTGTCACTCCCCGGGAGGATGAGGGGGCCAAGAGGGTCCAGGGCAAGTGGGGAGGCAGGAATGGATGCCCAGGGACAGGCACGGGCCCCACTCACCGCCCAGGAGCATGGCCAGCAGGACGGAGGCGAGGGCAGGGCTGGAGGGTCTGCAGCTCTGGGTCATGGTTGGGCGGGGGCTTTGGTGACTCTGCCCCCTTTGCCCACCCTTCCCTCTTATAGCCCCCATGCCCAGAGGCCGTTGCAGTTGCCCCACGGTGGGGCCAGGCGCCCCCACTTCCTCCCCCCATCCTGGGGATGCAGGGGACGAGGTGGGTGCTGGGAAGAACGGTGGGGGCAGGACAAGTGCCAGGCGGGGGCTGGCTCAGGACGGCAACCAGGCAAGATCCGGGCACAACTAAACTGGGCTGTCAGATAAACCT